CCATTGGAATTGGGGAAGATGGAATTATTGTGAACATAATAAGGCATTTGAAATACACTGAGATAAAGGAGATGCAAGTGTGTTTGTGTAGAATGCCTTGCCAGGTGCACTAGACCCAGAAAACCGCATTCTGTCCCAGTTAATTTGTTTTGTGGCATGAAGCTATGTGATGGAATGTTAATGTCAGCAACCTCTTTATTTACGCACCAAGGAAAAAGGAGTAGTAATTAACACTTTGACACTCCCCCATTGATGTGTAATTGACTGTTTCAAAGGAGCACTGGTTCATAAGCTATTGCGTGCATTAAAATTACGTTTCCTATATTGCAGCACTTTAAGACAGGGGTCAGTGACAATGCAGAAATTGCTCAATGATGCACATTTTTTTATTACTGCATTAAGGTTTTGACATATTAGTAATGAATAAATGTTTCCATAAAATTAGATTTTTTTATAACTTTAAAATTGAAATATGACACAGAACACTGTGACTTCCTCTTTGAAGGTAATGTTCTACTTTCATAAAACAAAGCACAGCTTCCTGCAAGTCTTTAACTCCTGCTTCACGGGTTTAATAGTTTGATTTTGAGAACAAGAGTCCTCAAGGCTTTAAGTTTGGTTCTTTGTTTTAAAGTAGTGACTTTAAACATCAATTTGAAATGTTTTTAAATGCAGGTTTCCACATGTAAGATAGATAATGGTTTTACATAATTCATTCTAGAAAGAATCTTCATTCCTCTGATAAGTATTTTGATTTATGGTAAGCTTGTAATACTCAAAGAGTAGCAGTAAAATAAATTTAATTTCAAGGACATTTTTAATTAGATCTTAGAAATTATAGGAGTTTCCATCATTTTATCATATTGAAATAGAACTGTATCTGCCTGTAGAACTGGAAATGTTAAGGAATTTTCTTGTATTTGCAAATATTGAGGAAAAAAATCTTTAGTATTTGTTCTCTGGGATAGGAAAAACATAATATTCCTAATTTATTGTGCCAACTGGAAGTCAGATTCCCTGTTCTGTGTTTTGTTTCTTGAACATCTATGCAAATTAGCAATCTTTTATTAGAAATTTGCTTATAAAACATGCTTTGGGGACAACAGCTGTTTAAATGTGTATACTTTTGGTTTTAGATGTATTATTTATTACATCTGAAAGTATAGTTACCAATGTATAGATTCCACAGGTGTCATCGGTTTATCAAAACACATTGTTTTATTAACAGTGACAACTTGGGCCAGTGGTAGCATTATCTTGTGTCAACTGAATTGCCCTACATGTCCCGATGTCATCTGGTGTGATCCAGTTGCTACCTTCTTGCTTCAGAAAGTTAATCAGTATCTAATTTGCATTTGTTAATTAGGGTTAATGTGCACTAATTGATTTTTTGATGCTTGTAGATTTCCATTAAATCAGAGTAGCAGTCCTTACTTGGGTACCTCATTCATTTGAGTTATGATGAGCATGTTTTTGTTGAATCTGTGCCAGATAGAAAGCCTGCATCATAATTATAGGTAATTAACAGACGATTATGTCCTATATTAATGGGCTTCCCTAGTCTTCTGCTAATATATGTTTTAAATTTCACATTTATTCATGGAAGGCTTAGAACTTTAACACTACAGACGTAATCTCTTAATTATTAGAGGGCATGTGATCAATCATTTGAGTTTACATAATTTGAAAGTTCAGAGAAAAGGACCATGTGATGCTAGATTATTAGAAACTTTAATAAGTTAGCATTGAATCAATATGTATAATGTGTTATAATTCAGCTTCTACTTAGGAATGGGTAATAATTTGGATATTCAGGATTTGTATTTATTTGTATTTCTAGTCATTTATTTTATAAATGAACCTATTTTCTAGGCCTAGTACTCCCACTTTCTCACTGAGTCTTCTTTGCTCTTCAGTTTTATTGTGTTTTAAAGTGAAAGGATCAGGACAAGGTAGTTTAAGTTTCCTTTTAGGTCTAACAATTTAGATCTGAGTAATTCTAATAGCATGGTTCATTACAAATCAGAAGGCAAAGTTTGCATTATTTGTACAGTTTTCTACTTTTGCCTTATAAATAACAAGTACCACTGTTAATGGTATTATTTATCTAGTACTAATCTTTTTTCTTTTTCTTTTTCTTGCTTGAGGAAGATTAGCCCTGAGCTAACATCTGTGCCAGTCTTCCTCTGTTTTGTATGTGGGATGCCGCCACAGCATGGCTGATGAGTGGTGTAGGTCTGTGCCTGAGATGCAAACCCAGATGGCAAAGCAGAGCGCACTGGACTTGACCACTATGCCCCAGGGCTGGCCCCCATAGCACAAATCATTTTAATCCAGAGTTACCTGAAGGGAAACGCAGTGCTTTTGTAACTGATTGTATATGAAAGTGTTTTTAAACTTTACCAGTAATACTGACACAGAACAAATAGTAAGTAAATAAGGAATTCTGTGTTTCACTGGAGATCTATTAGTAAAAGTAAGCTTCAGTAATTCAGTTAAATAAAAATGTTCTTATGAAATGTACTTTGTACATTTTATCTGCTAAAATGTATAAATATAAAACGTGAAAGATGTACGAAATGTTTAGGGCCTAAAAATACTGTTTTATAGGCCATTCTTTGAACCTATCACCTGTGGGACTATAGTAATGAAGAAATGTAGTTCTAGAGAAATGATTTGAAACACTCCATAGTTTAATTAGGGGTCAGTTTATGGTTTGCAAACATAAGTGGCTTTATCAAAATTCCTCTGTAAACAGTGCTCAAAGAGTGATTTCCACATTTACACGAGTTGTAACGTGCGGGTCTTTTATTAGCATGTATACTCACCAGGCTTGACTTTTGTGTTATTCAGGTCTGTTACATGAACAGAACATGGCAAAAATGAGACTGCTTACTTTTATGGGAATGGCAGTGGAAAATAAAGAAATTTCTTTCGACACAATGCAGCAGGAACTTCAGATCGGAGCTGATGATGTTGAAGCATTTGTTATTGATGGTAAGACAATTAGAATGCTTTCTTTTCTAGAGTTTCTCTTCTACCCTATGGAACAGAAGAGTTTTAATCTTGAAAATGAGCCTTATGCCAACAAAGCTGGATTCTTTTGTAGCAAATGTGTATGTTTAGTAGTTCTGCAGATTATATTTGTAATGGAGTGAAAATTCAATGGAATTATAAATCACTGTGGGCTTTTGGGTGTATGTTCTGTCCCTTGAAATCATATAGAACAAAGCCCTTTAGGCAGTAAACCATAGTAGTTAAGCACCTAGGTTTTAGTGTCAGACTTGGGTTTGAGACCAGGTCTTCTCCTGTGAAAAAGGGATGTGGGGGTTAATTTGTGGTTGTGAGGATTAAATGAAGTACTTAGCCCAGTGCCTGCATGTAGTAAATGATCTGCAAACATTAATCATTATCAGTTTTTATGATTGGCCTAGAAACAACTTTCTTCCCCAACATTTGCGTTATAAGGTGATTTAACTGATAATCAGGAATTTTTTCTGAGCTTTTTATGTTTGAAAGTTGGATAGATTTAATTAAGATTAATAAAATGTATAGAACCGTTGACATGGTTTCTTTCTAATGTTCTAAGTCTCAAACAGTCCTATAAAGAAATAATACCTTATTAGGAAACTAGTTTTCCTTTCCATATGTGATTGTAGGGGAGAACACCTGGAATTCTTCATGAAAACTGTGTGATATTTAGATAGACTGGCCCAGCAGTCAGAGGACAATATATGACCTTCCTCTTGGTTAAATCATATTGCTGTGCTTGTTATTAGATTCAAAGAGCTAGTTTGTAAAATATTAGAAAACTGCTACTTGGTCAGTTTCTTTAGAAACACCTATATATTAGCCTGTTTTTCTTGGGAATTTTCCATGTAACACATCTTGTAAAACATCTTTTTTCAGCGGTAAGAACTAAGATGGTCTATTGCAAAATTGATCAGACCCAGAGAAAAGTTGTTGTCAGGTAAGACATTTTAATACTTTGCAGCATTTTGTAGACAATTTAGTTTTTTCTGATTATTTCACTTAAATGTTTAGAGAACCAAGGTGGTATTCTTATCAGTTGACTGTAAATAGCAACTATTTATCATAATTTTATTAAAGTTCAGACTGAATGTGATTAGCTTATTTAATGAAAGAGTCCTATTTTCCAGCACATTTCATTTAATGGCTTAGCATTGGCTGGAATACTAATGACTTTTGTGTCTGGTTTATGTAGTTCGGGTAAATAGAAGGTTTGAGACCAATATGGTAAAGATTTTTACAAAACATAAGCTTCTAATTCTTCTTTTAAAATTCTAAATTATGTCTTTTATGTATATTTAACCTTGCTTTTAACTAGATACAAGAGTGTAGCATTGTGAAAGAATACCAGAGGATAGAAGGTTGACTAGTAACTTTGTTTTTAATTTCTCGATTTTTTAGTCATAGCACACATCGGACATTTGGAAAACAGCAATGGCAACAACTGTATGACACACTTAATGCCTGGAAACAAAACTTGAACAAAGTGAAAAACAGCCTTTTGAGTCTTTCTGATACCTGAATCTTTATGCTATATCATTTTGTTCCTTTTGGAAAAAGATCTAAATCATAGTAAAACATTATAAACTGAAATTTGACTACATTCTGGACATTTATTGTCTCAAATTTAAAAGAAGTCAGTCTTCAGAGGATACAAAGTAATAAATTACAGAGGGGTCAGTGTCTATCTTGTATAATAGGTAAGTTGTATTCTGTAAGGAAAGGTTTTGAAGGTACAAAAAGAACTCTGATGAAAGGCTATATGGAGGAAAGACATTTAATTAAGGGGTATTAGATGCTAACAGCAAACTTTGTCATCTTAGCTATCTTAAATGAAGCATTTGCTGAGTGAAAACATAGTAATATAATTCTTACATCAGAAAAAGCTGGAACAGTAAGTACACATGTAAAGCTTAGGATGTAAAAGTCATTTTCTAGTCAAAACCACATCAGTATTTCTATTAAATCAGTTCACCACTGAAAGCATTTATCAAAGCATTATTTTAATCTGTTGTTTTTTCCAACATCTCTTCTGCTTTTCTTTTTTTAGGTTGGTTTTCGTTTTCTAAGCTTAGGAACTTTTCTATTTTGTTTATTTGATTTGTTATCAAGCTCTGCCAGTCATCTTCACTAGCAGAATCAGTATCTTTAATCTTGATTGCCTGGAAATGGCTTTGTAGCAGAGTTGATTTCAGAGGCTTTGTTTTCACCTAGGAAAGATCAAACTTGTTTTACCATTGAAATTATTACTCACTTTCTAAAATAGTCATCAACCAAAAGAGTTTAAAGAAAATCCTTAAGCCTTTGTAAGTATGAGTATGTGATAAAGCCACCATTTTCTTGGCTAATTCCCAACAACTATCTTAGTAATTTTGGCACCAAAAAACTATAAAATGTGAATTGAATTTGTAGGTTTATTTAGTAGCTATTCAAGATCCCTAATATATTCCAGGGATACCACAAACATTTTTCTAAAAGGTCTTGAGCTTACATTGAAAGAAAAGATATTTAAACAGTGCAGATAAAAATCTGTTTTGTCTTCTACTCCCTTCCCTTCCCAAACATGTCTATGTTTTGTATCTTCTGTCAGAGCCAGGGGAAAACTAAAAATGCTAACGGAAGTAAACTGCCACATAAAAACTACCTTTTACTTCATGTTTCCGCTCATGCTTCAGAGTAGCATTGTTGGAGAAACAGGAAGAACAATGAGGTATTTGGAAGTTGGCATGTTTCCAAGGCACTGCATTGGGTCATACTTAAAATACTGTGTTGTTTTTTCATTTCAAGGTTTCTTTTCTGATGATAAAATTTAGAAAATGGAGAAAAGTATAAAGAAACTAAAACTTACTAGTAATCCACTATCCAGAGAGACCTGTCAACATTTTGTTATTGTTTGCTGCTAGTCGCTTTTTTCTATTTTTAGCATATATACTCATTCTGTAGAATTTCATATCTTGGCTTTTCCTTGTGTGAGCTGTTTTCTAGGTCATTAAAATTTCTTACAAACAATTGTCAGTGGCTGCAAAATACTTCCTTTTATGGATGTGTGATAATTTATTATTGAACATTGATTTCTAATTTATCTCTATCAAAAGTAAGTTAATTTCTTGAAAAAAAGTCTTTCATGATTTTCTGAGATACATTCCCAGATAAAATCTTCTGTTAAAAGTGAATATATTTTAGAAATATGCAACAGAATAAGAATTGCATTAAAATTACCCAAGATATCAACCACCACTAAACATTTTGATTAAATATCCTGGTCTCTTCTATATATAGAAGAGACCAGGATATTTAATATATATATATATATATATATACACACACACACACACACACACAGACACACACACTTTCTCAAAAAAATTGAATCATATATCATCTATGCTGTGTTAAAAACATTTTTAGCATTTCCCTCTATTTCTAAAAGTCTTAAAAACATGGCTCTGACATGTTCTGTAATTGAATATATTTGTTGGACATTTAAAGTTGTTAGAAAACATTTGCTGTTTAAATTAGACTGTTAGGAATATCATTTGTTTATAAATCTTTGTGAAGATCTTTGAGTACTGTCTTACATTAAACTCTTTTCTGGTTTCACTGGTAAGAGTGACATATTGCTAAGAATGTCGTTTTCCAAGTGAGATTATCTAGTAGTAATTTTTTAAATGGGCTCAAGTGTTTACATTTAATCTCAGTTCCCTAAGAATTACTCCTTTTGGACTGCTCTGTGTGGCTCTTGAGAATTCTACAGTCAGCCACCATCCCCTCAAAGTCTTAGCCCCTGATCCTTCGGGTGATCTTGTGCTCATATCTGTCTGTCTGATTGCTGTGTGCTTATGAAATCATAGAGGTGAAAACAAGTATCAGCATGGGACCACCATGAGACCTCAGGCAAGTCACTTGACTTTTGTGGGCCTCAGTTTTCTCATCAGCTCCTTTTAGTTACAAAATGCTTTTTGTAACTACTGTTGTAAAGAGTAACTGGTAATGGATAAAAATATGTATAAATGTCTATTTCTGATAATGTCTGGCATATAAGTGTGTTCAACATAACTCATTTAGCTCACAGGGCCAAAATGAGTGTAAATCGTCCATCCAGTCCTGAGAAATATGTGAAATCTAAATCAACATTGCTACAGATATTGAAGTAAAATGTTTGATGATGTGTATGATTTAATGGTCCTGTTTTGCCATCAAAATGCTTGATTGATGCATTTGACATCAACTACAAATTACCCAATTTTCTAAAAACCTGTTTCTGTGACTTTTTATCTTAACGATGATGGAAAGGAAGGAGACATTTACATATAGCTGCTTTAGTTTCTTTCCTCTTAACTACCTACTTGGTGGGAGGGGCATGAGCAGGGATTGGCTGTACAGTAGAAAGCAAGAGGTAGCGGAGATTAAAATTTACACTTAGCAGCCTGTCCCACTTAGCTTTATTGAGGTTGCAGCTTACAGCAGCGATTCTAGTTCTAGATGTGTCGTCACATAGCTGCTCCTTTCTTTCCTCATTTTAAAAATCGCTTACCTCTTAACCTCTTTCTGTCGGACTCAAAAGATCTACTCTTTGGCCTAAAATTTCCCCCAGCCTGGTACTAGTCCTTTTTATTTCAGCCTGGGGTGGACAGGCTGTAAATTTGAAAATTTAACCAGGTGAACCTAATTCATTGGATGTGTACAATTAAGTGGCTTTCTTTGCTTACTCTGGCCCCTCTGTCTCCTCCTCATTCCTGGGTATAATCAAGATTGCAGCAGGCTATCAACTTAACCCCCTCCAAGAACAAAAACACCCCTTGCACGTTGCTCTGAATCTATAGGGGGAAAGTGGACTAGCTCATAATATCTACCCAGAATTTAACAGGATTGGTGTGGAGAGTACACATAAAAATACAAAGAACTTCCATTCACTTTCTGGGTGTAGTCTTCATAAAATTCATTTGTCTTCATTTAGAACAAGGTTGGCACACTTTTTCTGTAAAGAGCTGGAAGTAAATGTTTTTAGCTTGGTGGGCCAAGTGGCCTCCCTCCCCCTGCTGAATTCTTCCATGCAGCACAAAGACCAACATGGGCAATAGGTAGAGGAATGGGTGCGGCTGTGCTCTAATGTAACTAAAACAAGGGAGTGCATTCGTCCCACCAGCTGTCATCTGACAGTCCCTGGTCCAGAAAAGTGTAAAATATTAAGTATAAATGGGCTTCATAAAGAGACTGGATTGGTCCAGTTTAATCCAGACAGAGATAATAGTATTTTCAGTAGACTAGGCAAAAGAATAAATCCGCTTTTAAATTTGTCCCACACTGGATGTTAATTGGTAATCAAGCTTCAGCCAGGACAGTGATGCTTACTTGGCATAGAGCTTGACGTGATAATAAGCACTTAGAAGACGTATATTTAGCCAGTGAGCTGGGTTTCTTTTACACGCACCAGTATTCTTTTTAGGAACATTAGCCCTGAGCTAACATCTGCCACCAGTCCTCCTCCTTTTGCTGAGGAAGATTGTCCCTGAGCTAACATCTGTGCCCATCTTCCTCTATTTTATGTGGGACACGTGCCACAGCATGGCTTGATAAGCAGTGAGTAGGTCCACGCCAGGGATCTGAACCGGGGAACCTGGGGCTGCTGAAGCGGAACGTGTGAGCTTAACTGCTACACCACAAGGCTGGCCCCATACATGCACCAGTATTTTGAAAAGGAACATTTTTTTCCGATTATGAAAGTTGATAACAGCATTCGACTAAAAGCCAAGATATCTAGTCTAAATCCATTGCAGATTGTGTCTTAATGACTTTGGAAAGTTATTTCACCTTATGTCACTGCTTCCTCATCTGTAAGATAGAAGTAGCATACAGGACTGTTGCAGGAATTTTCTTTGAAAAAGTTTTAAATTCTATAAAGGTAAATTCTTAAAAACTATTAATTACAGGAAAAGCATTAGGAATTAAACAAAAAGAACTTCCTTATTGGGTTAATTAAAATGGGCTTGAAAGCGAGGTGTGAAATTTCCATCATACCCTTCAACTGTTTGAAAATAGGGCAGTCATCTTCTAAGTGTTAAATATTCACCTACTTAGAAATGAGTGTTCAGCTTTATACTCTCAAGTCTCCTTTTTGCTTTGATTGTATGATTTGTCCAATTGGCCAGAACTTAGATTTCCTGGTGCCGGGTTCACTGTGCTTTGGCTACCATAGTTTAAAGGTTACACACGTGTAACACATCAAGCTGAAACTGTTGCTGAGCTCAATTAGAAAAGGTAGATCCTGATTGTTAAAAGCTGTTAAGACTGTGTTAGTGACATAATTCTCATTGAAAATATACAGTGACCTTAAAATCATGTCACTATGCAGTTTTTTTTTTAAACGTAATCTTTCCTAACCTTTTTAGGTTACATTTTAGCAGTTATACCTATAATTGTCTCCTTGGATTTAGAAGAGTACAGCCTTTTTTGTGCTGAAGTTTTACACATGAAGAAAAAACTTACAAATTTTACAAAAAAACTTGTCAGTTATAGTTAGTTGCTTTTCATATAACAAATGGACTCCCAGAGCCATATGATCTACAAATACTTTGCTTAATGTTTATATTCATACTTCATACCATATATTTATGGCTAATGGGTCCTTTCACATACTGTGTTCCAAATGAAGTAATTTAAAACAGATAAACTTCTGCCTTTGCAATAGTCATTTTCCCCAAATAATGTAAATTACCTTAAGCACTAGTAAAAACAAATGAACTTAATTGATTAGGTTAAGGTAATTTTGATTAAAGTAAAATTTTAAATGTTCAGATGGGTGATCTGTTTTTTTTTAGTTTAAATAAATGCTCAAATGCCACTATTCCTAAATTTAGTTGACTAAAAAATAGAAGTACATAACACACTACCTCACACTCTCCTTCCCAAAACAGGCTGGATTATATCTATTTGATTTATACACTGTGACTTTTTCCTGCTGTTTTCCATCAACCTTAATTGTGAAAAATGGTGCCATGTTGCCCTCTTGATATTATTTTGGAGATCAGTTAGGTCTTAAAGCATCCAGATGCATACAGTTCTACACATATCTGTAGAATTAGCTCAGTAAGGTCTGCTCGGCAGTATTTTTAATTGACTTACATGTTCTGTGGGAAAAGAAGAATCATAAAAAGTCTTTGCAGTCGCATTCCTCGCTTCACTGGGCTCTCCCTTGGGATCTGGATGGATGCTCGAGTTATTCAAAGTGTCAGCAGCTCTGTCGATGCTGGTAGTATCTGGTTGACAAAGAGGAAATGGCAGCAACTGAATTTTATTCTCCAGGCACTCATTTTAGTGACTGAACTTGTTTTTCTCTGATCCTACGCTGTTGTAGTTAAAAAGTAACTTTCTGTTTTCTTTTTACTTTGACCATTTTATAGTTTTCACGTAAGTTTCTTACATTGGGCATTTCATTTCAGAAAAAATTTTCTTGCTACTTTCTAAAACCTGATTTCACATTAAAATGTTAATTATATAAATATCTTATAAAACAAAAGTCACATAAAATGTTATGCTTATTCCCCTGGTTACTGCATTGCCCACACATGTAAACATTTATGTAGTGAACATCTTACCAATTCAGATTAATGGGAAAAGTCTGAAACCAACTAAAAGTCAGATTTATAAAATATATTTAAAGAAACCGGCCATAGTAAGGCAAACAAAGGGCTGTCTAGTAGAGGGTCACTGGGCTTTAATAGATCAAAATGATGTAGAGAAACAAGTCTAATTTGAAGGTTAGAAGATACTTAGGAATTTGAGTATTTTACAAGTTGAATTTCTACAGAATTTTAGACATCTCCCCTTCCATCCTTATGATTTGTATCATTGAGATTTAATTTAGAAGAAAGGATCTGTGAGAAAATGGTAAATGTTAGACCAGCCCTTGACTGACCACAGCATTTGACAGACAAAAGTAATGGAATCTGAAGATAATACATTTTATTAGGAAAATTATAGTTTGTGAAATGAGGGTTTACAGTGTTTTCTATTTTTCTCTACAGTACTTCATTCATGCTAGTAAACAAATATACTTATTATCTTCGTTATATTTATACAGCACCATATGTGCTATGGAGTATATTTTTATTTTTAAATATTTATAATATGAAAAATTTCAAATACACAAAAGTAGAGAGTATGAACCTCAGTGTATCCATCACCCAGCTTCAGTACCCATCAGTATTAAGTCATGTATTTCATCCATTTACCTCCCCCTATTTTTTTATCCTGGAGCATTTGTAAAGCAAAACTTGGAGGACATTGTTACTTCATGTGGTTTTAAAGAATAGAATAGGCCTTCTATTCTCTGAAATAGTTAACATTTGAATGTAGCAATATAGGTACATAATTATTAAAGGATTGAGGTTTTTTTCTTTTTTTCTGCTTTTATCTCCCCAAACCCCCCCGTACACAGTTGTATATCTTAGTTGCACGTCCTTCTAGTTGTGGGATGTGGGAAGCCCCCTCAACGTGGCCTGACGAGCAGTGCTGTGTCCACGCCCAGGATCCGAACCCTGGGCTGCTGCAGCGGAGCGCGCAAACCTAACCACTCAGCCACGGATCCGGCCCCTAAAGAATTGAGTTTAAAGTGTTTCAAAGAGTGACAAACATCAGTGATACAAAATGTATTCTTACACCTCAGTAACACTTATAAAACAAAGAGCTGGATTTGTGGTGGTGAAGGGACAGATGAAAGAGAAAAATTAAGGAAAGGGAGAGAATTGCAGGAAGAAAGTGACAACATAAGAGACTAAAATGTTCTGAGAGAAGGAAGTTTTTTTGAGTATAGAAAGAAAAAAACGGTCACACTGGCAGAAGCCTTAATTTCACTGCATTTGCTCTAGAAAGTAAAAAGAAGATTAGGTAGGTGTAGGTGTTCGAGTTTAAAATTAATGACCCAGACCTGTGGTGGTTTTTATTTTTAGTTCCTTGATGAAAATAATTTTTTTTAAATTTCCAAAATGGAATTGTACCTCAAGACATGTTGGTAGTACTGACTCAGATTTAGATAAAAAGAAATCCACTTCCATTTAAATAAAACCTTTTACATATATATGTACATGGAATATTTTAGGTGTAGGCAAAAAAATACTATTTCATTTTAAACACAATGTGTTTGGAGAATTTTTACCAAGAATAGTAAGTAGAAATATAAATTTTAAAAGAATTAAAACATAAATCTTGATTTCTTACCTGGTCCAATATCCTCCCTGCCGTCATAGACAGCAACATTTTTACAAAGTGTCATAGAAACAGTCTTTTTGTTTTCTGATGGACCTATTGGTCTCTCCTTCAGCAACAAAGGAATGCTGGAAGTTGAAGTGCTCACTGTTTGACTTTCAGTTTGATTTACTTTTGACCAAGGACTGGGGTCTAAAAAATTCACATATACTGGAGTTTTCTCAGTTTTTTTATCTGAAGTTGAAAGATCAAAGGCTGACCTTCCACTTCTGTTTACTAAATCTGCAGATGCCTCTATGTGAAAAGAACATGACTCTTCCAGCTGTCCTTCACTGTAAATTTTTCCTGAAACGATGTCATTTAATGACTCTGTTTTCTCTGTATTATTTAACAGTGTGTGCTGTCTTTCATTAACAGTCACAAAAAGGAAGAGGTCATTTTTTGTGGCTTCTGTTATCTGATTGTCATCAGTCTGACTCTCTTCATTGGAAAACTGTGTTTCTGTGGAAGTCTTCTTGTGAACAGCAGTGTTCACATCTTTGGTTTGTGAAGCATGTATATTCTCATTGTTAACCTCAAGATGGGAGGTGGTCACATTGTTTTCCAAATATCCCAGACAATTCTTAAATTGACTGTTTTGCATATCCTTCAGATTTTTCCATATAGTTCTGTTCCCAGGGCTTGAGTTGGGTTTCAGGAACACAGACATTACATTACCATTTTTATCTGAATTCCTAAGTACTTTCAGATTATCACTGAAAGCAGCACATGAAGTGGGGAGGTGGACTGCTGTGTGACAGGGAGTCGTCAGTTCAGGTTTCTCTGAAGTATCACAGACTTGCTGACAACTGGAAGTTTGTTTAAATGGCAGTATGTTGTCATTGTTTTTATTTAACAGTTGATTTTGGTTTTTTTCACATTGTTTATCATCTAACATAACATCATTTGAATCCTCTAAAATGTACTTCTGACACACAACAGGATTCTTTTTTACATCTAGAGATGAATCCAGATCTGCTTTGGTTTGGTCACTGTCTGTAATTTCCTTCTCTCTGGCATTTTGTTCATCTTCAGAAACATCTTTCTGATCTGTATCGTGAGCTGTCTCATTGAAGATACTGTTAAATGAGATTCTGTTATTTTCAGCCTCCAGATGTACATCTGCCTGGTGAAGACCTAATCCTTCAATTCTTTCTATGTGTATCTTTTCTGTTTCTATTGATATATCCACCACTAAAAAAGAATTATTTGGAGATTTAAATTCTGTACATCCATTGTCTTTTCCCAAGCCCACCTTATCTTTTACTTCTGTAGTGACTGCTTTTCTAAAGTCGGTAACATTCAGGCTTTGTCCTTGACTAACTAGTCCTTTTTCTTTGCAGAGGGTTCTGCTCAGGGAGATTTCACTTTGATTTTCATCCAGAGGTACAGTAGTATCAATTTCATTCTTGGAGCTTTTTTCAAAAAGCTGCAGATCTGTCATGATGAGAACACAGTAAATTTTGATGTTATACACTAAAGCCTGCTTTTATAAGATATATGTATTGCCTATTTTTATAAAAACATTTAGCTTTAAATATTTCATTGGCCAATTATTACACAAACATAATGACACCAGTTTTACCTATTGAGTTTCCTTTATCATCATAAGCATATATTTAGCATGCTAAAATATTTGGCTCTACCTATATTAAATTTTTATTTCATAACAGCAAAAGTATTTTTGGTTTAAAAAGGGGGGAGTAAGTTGAGGGTATTACAAAATGCTTTTCATTTTTCTACTCTGTTGCTGCTTTTTGAGTATATAGTACAATTCCATATAAATACATAGCTGATTAGATAAAAATTAATTTATCCTAACAGGTTATACTCTTAATTTCCATTACTACCTAGGTCCAGAAATTGCTAGCTGGTTTCTTCAAGACTTAACAGTCATCACTTTTTCTTTCACTACCCTGTAAATATTTTTAAATTCTGGAATACTTGTGGGCAAGTGTCTAGACTATCTACTTAAGACATTAATTTTATTCATCTGGGCTCTAACCATAGATTTCAACATTTCAGTATAGTCAGAGTAATCTACAATACAAAATCCAGGGCTTGACAGGCTTTTTAATCCAATCATTCTCTCTACAACACCTCCACCAAGTGGTTGTTCAGCCAAGGTTTGAATACCTTCAGACAATCAGTACTGTCTTTAAAACAACTCTTTTTGAAGGTGGGCGGATTAGTAAATTATTTCAGTGGTTACAAAGAGGTCATTTGAACTACGAAAAGTGTTCTCTAGATCTGGTAATCAGAAGGGCATCAGTAACCCAGAGAACATTCTCAGCAAACCAGTGAAGGCAAAACCAAAATGCAAAAAGTCGAGGACTGATGAGAAGGGGAAGCAAAATGTATTTTTTCCCCAAAAACACTGACTGTAAAGCATAGCTCATAGGAAGCCTGTTTTGTTAAGATTGTGAGATTCTGTTATTTTCAGCCTCCAGATGTACATCTGCCTGGTGAAGACCTAATCCTTCAATTCTTTCTATGTGTATCTTTTCTGTTTCTATTGATATATCCACCACTAAAAAAGAATTATTTGGAGATTTAAATTCTGTACATCCATTGTCTTTTCCCAAGCCCACCTTATCTTTTACTTCTGTAGTGACTGCTTTTCTAAAGTCGGTAACATTCAGTCAGTGAATTCAGATGAATTCACTATTTCTCTAACTACACTACAAGGTCCTCAAAGCAAAGACTGCAGCTGATATCCCCTAAATGCCACAGGCGGCCTCCAGAGCACTTCGGCAGGTCCACCTTAGGTTACCTTCAGTGATTTCTTCTGTAAGTGGGTCTTCTTTCTGTTCCTCCTCTTCTCTGTATTCAGTATCTGAACAAAAATGCACAGTGCTTTCTTCCCATGTCTCTTGCCCAGAGTTACATTTCTGTAGGACGGTGTTTTCTGATGTTTCCACTGACACTTCACTGTTCTCAGTATTTACTTCTGGAAGATTCTAGTTTAAAATGGAAAAGATTCCTTTAATATAAAAGCAGATCACTATAAAGTATAAAACATTTGAACAAACTTTGCTGATCAAAGTGGAATCTTTGTTTCAGTTCAACCATTCAGCAATTTCTATTTGAAAACCAAATAATTTTTTTACTAAATTTAATCTATTAGTCTTTGTAACAAGATCACTTGAAGTTCATTTTGTATAGTCTATCATATGTAAACAAAATGGAGACCCTTACATGTTTTCAAATATGCGTTCCATATTACATAATACCACACATTATCTTACATGTAATAAAAGAACCACTCCTTTATTCGAAGCAAGGTAGTCATGGCAGGAAAATTGCTTTTGAGTGTTTGGTATTTTTATGTATCTTTAAAATAGTGAATTAATTCAGCATCCATTTATTCAGCATGTATACTGAGCACAGATAACATAGAAGCACTGCACTAGGCTTTGGGACACAATGATGAACAAAACACTCCCTATGCTCAAAAACCTTGCAGTCCAGTGGGACAGATGGGGATAAGGAGACACTTCAGGGGGAACAAATGCTCAAAAGCCAGCAAGATTATGGTCTTTTCATGGAACTACCTGTGATTCCTTCAGCTAGAGCTCAGATGCTGGGACAAGATGGAGAGAAATGCGACTTGGAGTAAGCTAGGAGGTCTAGGTCACTAAGGGCCAAACACAGCGTGCTAAGGAGTTCCAACTTTACCAGGAAGACAGTGAGGAGTCACTGAAGGGTTTTAGACAAGGTGATTAATGTGATCTGATTGGAAAGGCCATTCTGGCTGCAGTATAAAGAGTGGATAGAGTAATGTTTCCAAACTTGATTAAAACCTGCAATGAGAAATATATTTTACAATACAGTGAGCACACCAAACAATACCTGCTCTTAATGAGATACATTCTGATGTCTTCTATGCTACTTTATTTCATATTTAAGAGTATGCTGGTCACAAACCACTAAACTAATTTTCATGAACCACTAATAGGTTGCACCTAGAAGTCTGAAAAACAGTGAATTAAAGGGAGACCACACATGAGGCAGAAAGACGCATCAGAAGAGTACCATGGCAGTCCAGGTGACCAGTAAAGATGAAGTGTCATGAACAGATTCATGAATGATGAATTCCTATCAAGACGACTTGGTGAATGATTAGATAGGAAGGCTGAGAGAGGAGAGTTAAGATTGATTTGCAGAATTATTAGGGAAATGCAAATCACAACAGAATGAGAGATACCTTGCACCTGTCAGAATGGCTATTATTAAAAAGATGAGAAATGACAAGTGTTGGAGAGGATGTGGAGAAAAAGGAACCTTCATACACTGCTGATGGGAATATACATCGGTGCAGCCATTAGGGAAAACAGTGTGGCAATTTCTCAAAAAATTTAAAAAGAAATACTGTATGATCCTGCTATTCCACTTCCGGGTAGTTTTCCAAAGAATATGAAAACACTAATTCGAAAAGATATATGCTCCTCTATGTTCATTGCAGCATTATTCACGATAGCCAAAACTTGGAAGCATTCTAAGTCTCCAACAATGGATGAATGGATAAAGTGTATTGTGTATATATATAAAAAATATATATGCACAGTACTACTCAGCCATAAAAAAAAGAATCGTGCCATTTGCAACAACTTGGATGAACTGAACCTTGAGGGTACTATGCTAAGTGAAATAAGCCAGACAGAGAAAGACAACCACATGATTTCATTCACGTGGAAGGTAAACACCGATAGGGAGAACAGATTGGTGGTTACCAGAGAGGAAGGGGTGGGGGGAGGGTGAAATGGGTAAAGGGGCACGTGTGTGTGGTGAAGGGTGGAAACTAGACTTTTGGTGGTGAACACAATGCAGTCTATACAGAAGTTGAGATACAATGATACAATGATGTAATGTACACCTGAAATTTACACAATGTTATAAACCAATGTGACCTCAATTAAAAAAAGGTTGATTCACAAAGTTCAGACTAGATACCTAGGTGACTGACTGGTGGATGTCATTTACTGAGCTGGAAAACTGGAAGAGTAGCAGTTTTGCAGGAAAACATCATGAGTTCAGTTTGACCTGTTAAGTTTGAAGAGTTGGTAAGACATTAGGTAGAGATGTCTAGTGAACATTTAGATGTAGGAATCTGGAGCTTATGAGAGAAAACTGACCTGAAATGTGGATTTGAAAATCACTGGCAGATGGATGGCAAGTGAAGATGTGTAAGTTGATGAGATTGATTAAGGAGAGTGTATTTTGGGAAGAAAAGAGGAGAAAGGAGAAAATGCTAATGTAAATCCCCAAGGGAAAGGCAGAGGAAGAGACACTTTCAAAGGAGATTGAGAAAAACAGTCCGGTAGTTTACCAGGAGCTTTGGAGTTGGATAAATATGGGTTCCAATCCTGGGTTCAGTACTTATTAAATGTGAAATCCTAGAAAGATACTTATATTAGTTATTTATTGTTGTGTAACAAATTATCCCAAAACTTTGTGATTTAAAACAGCAAACATTTATTTTCCCATAGTTTCAATGGATCAGGAATTCAGGAATGGCTTGGCTCGATGGATCTGACTCAGGTCTCATGTAGTTCTACGTGAGGAATAAATTCAATTATGTATATAAAGCATATAGCTCATGGTTGATCAATTAATGATAATAATAGTAATAATTCTTATTCTTACTGCCTTAAGGAAAAGCCTGAGATGTAGGGGAAAAAGCAGATGAATGAAATATAATAGGGACAAGGGGAAAGGGTATTCAGTGAGTTAACTTGTATTTAGAGACAGATGTGGGATCAAACAAGGCTTTTTGCTGTTTAATTTGTAAAATGGGAGAGACTTGAGTATGTTTTATTGTAAATGGGAATATATAAACTAGCAATAGAAAAAAGAAATATAAATGACAAATATATGAAAATATGTTTAACATAATAAAAATGCAAATTAGAGCAGGCCCTGTGGCCTGGTAGTTAAGTTCAGTGCATTCCACTTCAGCAGCCCAGGTTCAGTTCCTGGGCACTGACCTACATTACTTGGCAGCCATGCTGTGGCAGCATCCCACATACAAAATAGAGGAAGACTGGCACAGATGTTAACTCAGGGTGAATCTCCCTCAGCAAAAACAAACAAACAAACAAAAAAAAGTGATAAAGTAAGTATCAAGAGAGTTTGAGTATACAGGCACTGTTATATATGGTTGGTGGGAGTATAAACTGGTACAACCTTTCTGGAAGGCAATCTGGTGATACATATCAAAATTATAAATGAGCAAGCTCTTTCACCCAGCAATACCAATTCTGGTAATTTGTCCTAAAGAAATAATCACAAAAGTACACAAAGACATTTCTACAAGGATGCTCTACAGTAGAGGGGTTGATAAATTATGACACATCTCATTCACACAATGGAAACTGTGATACAGATCAATTTTTACTGACTTAGAAAGATACCTACTAAGTTTAAAAAAACAAAAGCAGTTCCTCAGAAAGTTTAATATAGAATTACCCTATGACCCAGCAAATCCACTCCTAGGTATATGCCCCCCAAAAAGGTCAAACAGAGTTGCATGCCAATGTTCATAGCAGTATTATTCACAATAGTCAAAAGGTAAAAACCCAAGTGTCCATCAACAGGTGAATGGATAAATAAAATATCATATATCCATACAATGAAATATTAGTCTGCCATAAAAAGGAATGAAGTTCTAACACATGCTAAAGCATGAATGAACTTTGAAAACACTAGGCTAAGTGAAATATGCCAGACAAGAAGGACAAATATTGTACAATTCCATTTAGATAAACTATATAGAATAGGCAAATTCATAGTTAGAAAGTAGGTTAAAGATTACTAGGATCCAGGAAGAGGGGGAAATGGGGAGTTACTGGTTAGTGGTTACACAGTTTCTGTTGAGGATGATGGAAAAGTTTTGGAAATAGTGGTGATGACTGCACAACATTGTACTTGTAATTAATGCAACTCAACTGTAATTTTTAAATGTAATCACTGTAAAATGGCAAGTTTTATGTTACATATATTTTACCACAATAAAAGAAATTTCTAAATAAAAAAGCTACACAATATCAGAGAAAGTATGATTTTAGTTTTTAAAGAGTGCATTTATATGAATGTCTATGTTATCTCCATACAAACACATGTATAGAAAAACTGGAAGGTCATACAAAAAAATTTTTAGCAATCTCTATTTCTGGGTGGTAGGATTATGGATGATCTTCTTTTAATGTTTCTGTATTGTCTACACTTCTTAAAATGAAAACTATGACTTATAATCTGATTAAATAAAAGCTATTTTCAATTTAAAAGTGAATGAGTGCTAAATGATTTACTTATGAATACAAGTCTATATTCACTTCTATAAGCAATCAGATGCTGTAGGAATTACTTGCCATTTATCACTCTCAGGCTATGTTACAGTATAAATCTTAAAATGACAGTACCATCTCCTGCCTGGACTATTACAGCATTCTCCAAGCTGGCATCGTTGCCTTTAGTTTTATCCCACTTGTCTACCCATATCGTCATCCAAATGATCTTTCAAAAAAGTAAATCTGATCACTTTACTCAAATGGTAGAGTGATGAACAGACTTCTACAAAGGGACGGTACAGACCTCAGTGGGCTGTCCTCTGCCTGTCCTCAGCCTCTCTGCTACTTAGTGCACAGCTAGCCTCCTACCCTGCAACCATGCTAACTACTTGTAGTTTCCACGTTGAATAACAATATTTCACTTTTCTGATTCTTTGCCCATTCTACTCCATTTACTTGAAATACTCTGTCTGGAAAATTCTTACTTACTTTTAACAACTCAGCTCAAAAAGTCTGTGTGTGTGAGGTCTGCCCTGAGCAGCCATCCTCCTGAGTAGAGCTGATCTCTCCTTCCTCTGCGCCCTGACTGCGCCCTGGACCTGCCACCATGGAAGCACTTTTCACACTGCACTACAACTGCTCTTTACCCTGTCTCTTCTGCTGGACTGGAA